CGGACATTTAGTGTATAACCAACGAATTCAAATTCTTCGCATATCGGAAGGATCAGAAAACTTCGGTATGAGGATAACGATATGGGGCAAGAGCATACTTTGTAAAATCCACCGGGTGTAAAACCAAGAAATCCTGCGGATAAGGACAACAAAACCAAACATAGCATTTTCCGACCGTCACCGAAAAAAGCAAGTATGAATAAACATACCGCACATCCAAAATATGCCACTGTGTTGAATATCTGTAAAAAAAAGAAAAAAAAAGGATTTACAGAAACAGCTACTGCTTCTCAGAAAAGAATGTTTAAGTGGTGGGGAAAAAATGTTCGCTGTTGTCTTTTTCTTTTTTAGTCAACGGACAACTTTTACATTTTCCTATCTTCTGACCTTCGTTCATCCACATAATTCCATATAAGCATTCAAGTGGATCTGTCCACCGCATCGACATCCTTTCTTGTGTTCTTTCAGTGTTGCATAGGTACCATTCAACACTCCGTCTCTTATTCTTCTACTAGTCTGGTGCTTTTTTCTGGCATACACTGCCTCCATATCGTTTATGCCAGACCGGAATCGGAGTGCATCATTAATGATAAGCTATGCCATGCGTCGCAAAACTTCCGCAGAACTAATAGTAGGGGAGTTGAAAGTGTTCCACTTATAGTCGATACAATGTTAATGTTGAAAAAGATGTCATGTAGCTTTGTGAAAATCAACCATCCTGCTCTTTATTATCTGTTTAATTTCAGACACAATTTGTTATTCATCTGTATTGCATGTCTCAAGCAGGTGCAGCTTTACCGCAAGTTCAGTATGTGGGATTTTGATTCTCATGTCGCACTGGTACAATACGCATTTTTCAAAGAAGTTGATCTTCCAGGGATACACTGCTCGAAGCTAGCTATCGTAGAGGTCTGTGCATGAAATGAGTATAACTGGATATAATGTATTATTACCTTTACTTTGGCGGTGTCTCCAATCGATCGTATCTTATCGCTAGCTATGCCACAGGCTATTTTGATCGCAAAATGTGACAGAGGAGGTAGAGCGGCAGTGAAACCCGTATCATGCACATGGAACCCAAGTACTGCGTGCAAGTATGTAGGTGCAAAAAAGAACAACAGATTTTCATAATAAAAATTAGCTATTGCACAAAACCATATAGCCCAAACAGCCGTTGTTGTCAGTATTGGTACGTAAGGCACTGCTCGCAATATTTCTTTACTGAAATATATAAAAAATACAGGAAATACCAGCAAACTGCCAGTACCCATGCTTTTCTTTGTTTTCCGAGTGCCTTAGTTTGTCATGGATGGGATTTTGACTTTCGCTCTCGACTTTTCTGTGAAGAGGTGTGAAAAGCAGCAGCATCATCGAATGCCGAAAACCTCCCGATATTGGTGCAGGATGGGAAAGTGTTATTATAAACTGGCTAATCTATTTTGCTAAAAATCATCACAGGAGCTGGAATGAGTGGTGTGGTTTTGAGAGAGTGGTTCAAATATGCATAGATCTAGCAAAGCCATTTGTTCAGCTGACAATTGAGAGCTGAGCTGACACTGAAAGCTGGTGAGATAAAAATTCGGAATGGAAGGGATGTGAGCAGTCCAGAGGGCGGCAATTCAGCAAAACGTTGATTCGAATGAGAGTGTTGTAGATTTGACGTCTTGAAGTTAGCAATTTACTAGTTGAGATGAGGTCATCAAAAGGCAGTCAAAAGTTCACTTGAGAATGGTTAAAAATCGAAAATCAATAACGATGAAAAATTGATTTAAAAATCGAATGATTAAAATTATTGAAAAAAGAAAAAACTACAAAATCCATTTGCGAGTGATAAAAAACTATTAACCTTATATCCTCCTTTCCAACAGCAATTTTTTTGAGTTCGATATCAGTTACAAGTGGATGCTTGTGAGGT